GACTTACAGCTGTAATCGCAGCAAAAGGTGGTGCTACAAAGTATTAACTTAAGGGGGCTGAATAATTTTGCATGGCCCAATTTTTCAGTTTTTTATTTGTTAAAAAAGTTTGAAATATCCAATAAATTTCGTTCCACTTCATGATTGTGTCCCACTTGTTGTTGATTCTTCACAAAAAATTACAGTTTTATATTTTTGTTTGAAGCCTGAAATGTGGCAAAAGGTCGCAAAGTTCAAGGGGGCCGAATACTTTTGCAAGGCACTGTATATATGGTGAAGCCATAAAAAACTTCAGAGTGCACTAAAAGCAAACATTTCAAATGAATTTCTTACTGTATAATGGCCAAGTGTCATTAATGAAAACATTTGGACACAATGGTGGGAAGGGCCCAGACTTTTTTTTTTTTTTTTTTTAAACAGTGTATTGCAGGACTTATGTGCCAGTAGTTAAGTGTCCTTCTACCAGTTTGACTTGACTGTAAATAAAGGTAACTTAAGATTTTACATAAGTAGTTGTGAAAGCAGTGTGAAACTAACCATTTGCTGCATAGTGTATGCTTCACACTAGGACTTTTGCTCAAAATTACATCCAGCTTGTACAGCAATAATGACAGTAGTGCTGAAATGATTGGTGGATTAAGAAAGGCCAAATATTCTTGTCTTGGTTCAAATGGAACAGTCTTATACTTATCTGTGTTTTACATCATTACAAATCAAGGGGGGGCATTTCCGGGTTTGCAAGCGAGAGCAGATGTTTTTACTGCTCCTCTTGTCTGTTCTATATTTCAAGTCTTTGAGCATACTTTACAACTGCTAAAATGCCTCAAAGAGGGAAAAGAGCTAATAAATTAGAAGCGACGGAGGATATGGAGGCAGAAGAAATGTGTAAACATTACCATAAATGTGGTTTTATTAATAATAACAGTATCTCTTTTAATGAACATTGCTGATACATAATAGAAAATAAATCCCAAAGGAGAGACGTCTTCTCAAGAGTCGTGAAAGTGCCTGGAATAGTTCTGTGCTATATATTCTCATTGTTATTCATCATCAAAGCCACATCCTGAAACAAACATGTGGACCACCCCACTCAGAAAATGCAAACACTTGAATTCACGCAGCTTCCCAAAGCAGGAGCACTGACACCAAACTCCTGTCAAAATTTCGACAATTCTGTATTAACCTACAGTCTGGTTTCACAGTCCAAGCGAAAAAAATCTGATCTTTAAGGGAATCAAGGAGACAGCTGGAGAAAGCTGGATGGAAGCGGAATGTAAGGTGAAGGAAATATTAAAGGAGAAACTGCA